TATTAATTCAGTACTTATCTCACTTCCTGATTCACAACGCACGAAGTATACTAATCTAAAAAATAAAACAAAGGTTGCACTTCTAAAAATATTACAAGAAATACGAGATTTAAATGGTGCTGAAGAAGCTATAGATGAAGAGAATACTAATGAAAGTTAATAAAATCACATTCGTTATATAATTCTTACTTATCGCATAATTACTATTATCAAAAGTCAAATTTAGTTTTTGCTAAAGTTTTTATGTTATTAATATAGTAAAATACAATATTGCATAAGTTAAAAAACTACCCACCTAGACAATTAAATCTCGAATATAAATATATTCTCTAATATAAACTATATACTTCAACCAAATCTTTTATACCATATCTTGTAAGAGCCAACACCTATTAAGATTAAAGCGAAGCCTTAAAATTCAAATCCTTATATTGAGTAACAAAAAATAATTGATATATTCTCTGTATGTTTATAAATAAATATAATTAAACACATATAGTAGTAAATAAGAATTGTCTTCTAACGTCAGTGATCATAATGAAAATTAGAAGATAATTTAAGTGCAACATACTTCCTTTTAATCGACCGATTTCACTATAAGATCTAATATTAATTTATTTTCTTATTTTAGTATTTAATTATTTATCCTTTTCTTCTAGATTTATACCTTAGATCCAGATTTGAAGGCTGAATGATTGATAAGTTTTTTTTTAATTTATAATCTATATTCAGTCTTGTTCAACTATTTCTTCTCACGAATCTTTTTTTTTTTTAGAATTAAACTTACTGACGGCTTGTAGGAATATCTAATATATGTTGATTAGTGTTACTAAGGCTAGCAGTAAAAAATCTGAACCATGTTTTAATAATTAATACTTATGTTAAATAACTATATTAATATGGACAAAACATATTAAAAAAGGTAAAATTTAAATCCCAACCCATCTTAAAAAGTTAACTAGATACTCATTTTTTAAGCGCACACAATTTAGGCATGTGCGTGGATTCAACTATAATTTTTGTGGATTCTAAATCTTTAGAACTTGAAATACCCGCTTTGATAATTTGAAGAAAATCTTTTTGAAAAAAAAATCATGTGAAATTAGATCAAAATTTTGTATAAATAGCAAAAAAATAACCAATCAAAATTTAGTTTGTAGATCATCAACGAATTTCTAAATTTTGTATATCAATCCAAATTTGGAAAAATCCCAGACTGCACTAGAAGATATAAAAAATATCAAGGATCGTCACATGTTGTTTACTTAGTACAGCCAATCAAAATCGAGGGACGGTTTTATACAATTCTGTTTATACTGTACGGCAAATATGCCGTTATTTTGCCGGGGTAGTTACCGCCTGCACCTTTAATTATTTATGGTATATATATATTACATATATCTGATATCATACTTCCTATATTATGGTATGCCTGGTATCATACTACCGTTTTCTGTGGATCTTATTTAACCGACATCACATAGAGTTAGGGTTAGCGTTTTATTAGTTTCAGTATATATTAATAGTAAATTGTCACCCGGGTGATGTCGGTTAAATGGGCTTTTGGTGGTAAAATTGGGTGAATCAATAACCGCTTCCTAGCGATAGCTCTATATGTATAATGGAATAAATTCAGTAATCAAAGGCTAAAAAAATGTATAAAAGCAATGTGTTTGAAGCTATATAGAGTGAAATCTCAACATTTATCTCAATAAAATCTAATAAAGCTGCTCTCTTAAACTTATACACTCAGATAATCATCTTGTCTTGCAATATTATAAAATTTACTATATAAACTTTACTCTTATTTACATTTTTGACATTTGTAACTGGAAATTACTAAAAAAAAACGGTAAGATAATAATGAACAATTTGATTTATAACGCATCTTAAGGGTTTTTATGTTCACATTCTACGATCAATGTTGTATTATCTAATTTAGTAGACTTCGTTACATGATGCACTCTTATTTCAATTTTTTTTTTATTCTAACCAATTTACTAATCGACTTATATTCCTTCCAATATAATGGCAAATAGAAAATGGCCGAGGAATTTCATGGATATGCCGCCTTCGATAAAGAAAGCATCTTGAAACCTTATTCGTACATCCCCAAGCCATTAGGCGATGAAGACATTGAAATAGAAATTTCACATTGCGGCATATGTGGTAAGTATTAATAACGATAACCCTATTTTTTTGA